AAGAAATATATTCATTCCTTATGGGAAAACGAACAAATAGAGATTTAAACACGTAGTTCTATTGATCGATGATAACCAAATAGAATAAAGAACGAAGTACGTTCGGACAAAAATTTTATTAAGTAAATATTGGTTACATTCATGGAATACAAAAGTGCAGAGCCTCCTATGAGAAAAGGTATACAACCTCCTACGAGTTACAACTAGTAATAAACAATTATGGTCCTTCTGGTAGTGATGGTGAAAATTGTGGACTACGATCAGCGTCCTTCCTAAATGCATCGCTGCACTGGCGAGCAAAAAGGCTGAAAAACACTCTCAGTAAGCAAAATGGCCCGGAAGTATCCTCAAAATTGCCTTCCACCATTGATGGATGGCAAGAACTTCGTTGCCGGCTAAGAAACATTTCCTATATCTCCCATACCAACAGACATGTCAAAATAGACAACAAACCAGATGGATCAACTGATTCATTTCTACAGGAGATGGGACTGGAGATAAATTATCAAGATGCTAAACGATGGCGACAAGATAATTCTTAGAGAAATGATTAAGAATGGAGATGATAAGTACAGAAGGCACGAACGCATTTATAAGGGAGTGGATATGAAAAGACAGAATGTGAAAGACCACTTATATTAAATGGCCCAAATTCTGAGAAATCAACATGCATGAATTTTTAGCACAAAATGATCAAGTGCTTAGGGGGTTGACGATTTAAAAAGAGAACGTCAATTAATACACGAATATATAAAATGATTGTTCATTAATGGCAAATACTGCTGTTACAATCGAAAATGACTATGATAAATAGTTCAGAAAATTACAAAGAAAAGGACATCGAATGTCTAAATTATAATTCGTCCCAAATAGATCGCATCTGTTCCCTAAGCTTCGCCCAGTCCTCGTCCTGCCTCGAAGAAGCGGTGTTTATCTCGGCCACACCCTCCACCTGTTGGTAACGTTCACCCCAGGACTTAGTTAGCTCTATCTCTTGGGAAGCATTACGCTCTTTAGCAGCC